AAGAAGAAGAAGAAGAAGAAGAAGAAGAAAGAAAGAAAGAAAGAAAGAAAGAAAGAAAGAAAGAAAGAAAGAAAGAAAGAAGAGGAGGAGGAAGAGGAAGAAGAAGGCTGAATTTTGAGCATCTAATTCCCATTAGTAGTGATTTTCTGTGTAAGTAGGAAAAGGTCCCTCTTTTCTAAGATCAAAAGTGGGGCTAACAAGTACTTTCTCCCCCTGCTGCTTAGTTCTGAGGTTCAAAGAACTACCAGGTGGCTTTTCTCAAGCAATGGAAAGCAAAGGCATTTTGCCACAATTAAATGGTGCTTTTCCAAATCTATTTGTGTGGGGGATTTAGGCACTGAAACCCCCAAGCTGCATTAATAGGTGTGAATGGATTTCTATGTACCAATTAAAAGAACACCTTTTTAGCTCTCTGTAGACTGATTTACAGGATTTTGATCTTCTGTTTAAATAGAGCAAATTTGAAAAGTCAAATAACAGTTTTGTGGTTGATCAGTTCTAATTTATTACTTTTCTACATTAAGTAGTCATGCAAACAGAGCTGTCCACCCATTCCCTCGAGACATAAACGACATCCTTTTGTGATTACTCAAAGTGGCCACTAAAGGTCACTCTTACTCCATTCTCTTGGCCCAGCTTTGCAACCTGGGCCCAAGTACAAAAATGAGTGGTGAAGGAGAAAGCTCAAGGGCGGGGAACCCAGCACAACCATCTGGTCTTAGCCCACATGTGTAAATATCGCATGGTCTCCCTAGTATAAGAACTCAAAAGAAGAAATAAAAATTGACAGGTATAACACAGTTAAATGGAAAAAGAAAATTTAAGAATTAAACAACATAAAGAGAGAAAGGAAAGAAGTTAGGAAATATGGTAGAGGGAAAACAATACATTTATATAAAAAAGATGGCTAAGGCAATGGTCCTAAGAGCTTCCATCAGGTTTTTGAAAATAGCAGTTAATGGGTAGAATTCTCACCCTGACTAACTCTACATGCTGATATCTATGAACTAAGCAACTACATTGTGGACAGCAATGTATAATACTAAAATCATGTTTAAAATACCTGTCATTTAGACTTCTAGATGTGTACTGCTTATAACATCATATCAATTACTGTTATACTCTCTTTAAAGTAAATGTATGTCTTAAAAAATGTAATAAAATTAACCAAGGGACAAGAAAAACAAAATGCAGCAGGATTATACTGCTACAATGTTGAATATGGCTTGATTTCTAAATATCTTTGTAAAAAATGCATAATTGTTTTTTAACATTCGATAGGGTTTAAATTTTAGAACATCCATGGTTCTTGGAAAATAGTAGTTTCATTTTATGTCTAAGGTATGTGATATTCAGACAGTGATGGTATGCTTAGTGCCTCTGCTACAGCATAATAGTATCACTAAGCTTCTCTTCTGGATGTTTAACAACTAAAGTTTGCAGATCAAAAATTAGACAGATAGATGGGCTAAAAAGATAGCCAATATTTTGGCCCTAGCCCTTCAAGGTCAGTGAGAACTCAGGACACAAGAGAACCTCTGCTGTGACATCCTGTAACTAAGTGGTGTCCCAAATTATCTGATCAAGGATATTATGGGGTCACAGAGGAAAGTGATCCATGATGCATAGTGTGCCTAAGGAGAGTCACCGAGAGAAAAAAAATCTGTCAGGCTTTCACAGCAAATTGGGTCAAGCATTGGTCAACTATGACTCATCCAGATGGCTATCACTGACAGATCCACATGGTAAATCCTGAGGGGACTTGATTGACCTTATCAGGTAGCAAAAGTTATATTTTTTGTTATATAGGTCTTCCTTTATATAAGGTAGTCTTAACCAGCCAGCAGAAAAGTATAACCATGAGGTATAAAAAGTAAAGATATATTCATATGCTGAGCTGTGAAAGGGTCAAAGTCAACAACTTTGGACAATTGCCAGTTGTGCTGGTAACTCACTATTATGATGGACTATTGGACTATATTGGGTTATTTTGATGAATTCAAATAATTACAATCTTTGGAGTGGCATCAAGTATGAAAAGGTCCTTTAAAGACTTCTCCAAATATAGCTTTTCTAACTGCAATGGAACACCCATCTCTGACAAAACAAAACAGAAAAGGGGGATATAGATAAAGGACTGTTTTGTAATGAAAAAAATATATATGTATACACAAGATAGTTAGGAAAGATATGCAGCTACTCTCTCTTAGTTCAACAAAGAGAAAGGTTTTAACTAATATTGTTTAGACAAGGTATTATGTCTGCATCTTGTCCTTTGAATCACTTCTATGAAGACAATATGCAATGTGTTAATTATTGTAAAAGTCCTACTAACCTGTTTTTGAAACTGCTTCATTGCTATTTTGTCTTTTTTCTCATTAAAATAAATTTAAAAAATTTAAAAAAAATCCAGTCTCAGGAAAGAGCCAAACTTCTCTGTGGAAGTGCTCTAGAGCAGAGAGCCAACATTACACCTCCACATGAACACATTGCTAGGAAAACTGTCAAGATCCCTAAAAACTTCAATGAATTCAGAAAATATATAAAATTGAATACTTTGTTGTGACTCAGAATGAAAATGCTCTATTTAAAAGAAAAAAAAAAGCTATTTTAGGAAATGTTTAAGCCTTCAAACCATTACAGAATTAGTAAATCATAATTGATCCTATTTGAAAAGACAGGAGGGAAACTTGAAAATAGCACTTGCCAAGAACTTAAATCATCTGCAAATGTAACACCAGTACTTATAAGAGTCATTTCCTTTTCATATATTATCTGTTTGGGATATTTAGAAAATGCTCAGATTTAATAATCTTGGATTTCCTAAAGAAAGCATGATCTTCCGAACTGAACATATCACTATTAATAAGGGAAATATAAATTCTATCACTATTAATAAGGGAAATATAAATTCAAATAGTTTCACAGTTATCATTTAACCTAAATTAGTAGTTAAGGAAAGTCTAGTTAAAACAATTGAACAACTATTATTTAAACTAAAATGACAACTAAATTAAATGATAAAGTATTATATATTAAGATTGTACAAAATTAAGATCATATTTTAGGAGTACTGTATATAGACCATAATATTTAGCAATGATTAATGAAAAGAATGCCTATATTTTTGGATCTAACAATCTCACTTCTGGATTTACCTTAAAGAAATCCTGCACTTATTTGTTCCAAAAAGAATAAACAATAAAAAAGGAACAAACTCAGAAATCATTATTGAGAGAATAACTAAATAATTCTATGCCAGGCATTCATTAAGAGTAATAAGTACAGGGTCTACATGATCTCACTACATAGATTGGACTTGTAGGGATCCTCCTGTTTTCAGCCTTCCGAGTGCTGGGATTACAGGTGTGTACCACCATGCCCACTCTCCATCACTGTCTCAGTGCACCCTGGGGAGGGGGCTGGCACACCAGGAATCATACCCCAGCCACTGTGCTCTGCCTCAGCAGGAGCTTTAGTCCCCTGAGCTATCTATCTGGTCCTTGAAGAATTATTTTGTAAGATAACTTAACCGATGTAAAAGTCACATTCTACTAAATAGCCAGAATAGAACAGTACTTTAAAAAAATAAGAAGGTTATAAATATAGTATGAACCTTATGAAATTGATGATTTTTTTTTGGGGGGTGAATTGGGGATTGAACTCAGGCCTTTGCACTTGCTAGGCAAGTGCTTATTCTACTGAGCTATCCCCCCAGTCGATATTGTTATTTTTAACTTTACAAAGAAGATAACTTAAAAGTTTCAATTTGTACCTACAAATAATGAGGAACTTAAGATTTTTTCATAAAAATTCAGAATTAGGTGTGGTAAAGTCAAGGAATATTTAGGTAAATTTAACACATTTTGTGGAAGGGGAGTGGATTCATTTACCATGCTAATTAAAATTATTACCATATAAGTAGTTTTACCAAAAACTTTAGTATTTCAAGTTCTCATTTATTTCTATAATTTTTAAACTACCAGGATATGTAACAAAAGGAAGACTGGCAATATTCCTTTTTATACCTCAACTGATTTCACAAGCATGTTTCTGACTAATAGGTATGAAGAACATATTGTAATCTGTTACTCAGCCTGTGAAGTTAAAAAAAATGTAGTAACATATACAGCTAAGAAAATTTTCTTTTATATGACTTCATAGAATAAATATTTTAGAAAAGTAATCAAAAATATTTCAAATGCTCTTACTCTTATTTTATAAAAACTGAAAATAATCCTCTAAAGGGTAAAATTAATCCACTAGAGCAATTGCAGGAAAACATTTCAGAATTAGATATAACATTTCAATTTTCTGTCTGCAATAACCATGTACTTAGCTGTAACAATTCCTTGTACATGAACTCCTATTGATACAATAATGTCAAAGCCATACTATAACAATTTAAATTGATTACAGATTAAACTAGAGTCTTCTTTAAATGATCATAAATACAAAACACACATACACACTCAGCTGATGAGTTATAATAGACTCTAATCATAAATTGACCCTGAGCAGTAAACCAACGTACTGAGGATCCCATTTGTCTCCAAAACAGTGGCTGTAACACTGAGGTTTCTTATTTCTACTCTTACTGTACATGTTCTGACATAGACTTTTTATTTTTTTATATTCCAATCCTCTCCCTATTTCTCCTCCAAGCATATCTAACTATAGATAGATAGATAGATAGATAGATAGATAGATAGATAGATAGATAGATTGATCGGTCAAACTGTTAGGCAGGAAATGATAGGCACATGAGCTAGACTGGACTGAAGGTCTAAGATAATTGTAGGAATCTCTGACAAGTTAGAAAGGGCGTGACCAACTCACTAACAAATCATATTAGGAGTTGGAGTGTCCTTATTCAAATGAAAACAGTCTCAAGAGCTCAAACTTAATCTATGTTGCTTAGTTACAGGTATGGAAACAAGCCACTTCTCCAAGGTCTATAAAACTTTAGTCCCTTCTTGTCTAACCTCAAAGAAGTTTTAAACTCTTTTGAAGATTCAGATAGAGGGTTTGTGCAAGCCTTGATGGTGGTGAGTTTAATTTTAATTATACTCTAGCTCCTTTGGGTGAGAAATTTCTCTTTGTCTTTGATATCCTATGTTTCCAAATGCAGGTTCTCTTTATCTCTCTTCTTCAGTATCCCATGAACGGTTTCAATTCATGACTCCTATTTATTTATTAATTTCAGAAAGTCTATCTGAATTATTTCCTCAAATATTTCATCCTCTCAGTTTTTATTTCCTTTTTCTTTCTGGAAATTTTATTAAAAATGTTTGCACTTGTGTTCACTTAACTTTTCTTTAAGTTTCCTACCACTTGGTCCTTTTCCAATTTATTGTAGAATGTTTCTCAACTCAGCCTTTCAATTTTGTACTTCTTAGATCATTTACCCCACCTGTGACATTCTGTATCTTATCTATTATGTATTTCAAGCATAATATGCCTTCTCCATCCTTCTCATGGTTTCTGGCTCTCATCGCATATTTTAAATGGCTTTTCTTCTTTACTTTTAGTATTAATTTTATAATATTTGGTTCCTTGTTCTAGTTCTCTGCTTCCAGTGACATGAATTCTTATTTGTTTGTAGTTTTGAAATAGGTAGGCTCTTCAGAATTCTTTTACTCTCTCTTGGTGCATGTGAACCCATAGTCCCTTGGGGTTATTGGATAAAGTTTCTAGAAACGCATTTGGGGGAATGATGTGGATATGAAAGTCTCTGCTGGTTCAGCACTTTGGGAGAAATTGAGAGAGAAACTTTCCTTCTGTTCTTTCTGCCTGTTTTCTAAATGTGATATTGACCGCAGAGCAATAAATTTAGAACTTAACAGTAAAAAGATAAGCAAAGTTATCTTATACTTAGACATCAATAGAAAAACATTGCCAAAAATCATGAGATAGAGCGCAAATGGAAAACTTAACAGAGCCATAATTTTGATAATGGAACACTACAATATAAACTGTCTTTTAAAGGAGATTATTTTATAAAATATGTATACCACAAATTAATGATGGATGAGAATTAATATGCTGCACATTAATCTACAAGAAAATGAAAAATAAAATATGCCTTGATCTAATAAAAGGAAAGAGAAAATAAAATGACACTATCAATCACAAAATAGAAAACAAAGATACAATAGGATAAAAAAAAATTCACTAGTTCAATAGTACCAAGCCATTTCTTGGGGACATAAACAATCAAGTTTGCAAGCTGTCAATAAGATCAATGGAGAAAAAACTTAGAATGCTGTGACATGAGTAAAGATCAGGAAAAGGAAAACATTCCCAAGAAATACATCATTTTAAAACTTCTTCAGAAACACAAATACTTTGAAAATTTTAGTACATCAAATCGAGACAAAAATAAATAAAAACCTTGTATACTAGTAAGTCACTGAAATCATTCTTAAACAGAAGCACTCTGCAAGATAAAACTTGAAGCATAATATCATTGGCCATCTTCTTTAACTTCCAAAGGACAGATAACCACTAATGTAAAAATTAAAAGTTCATTTTTCTAAAATACAAGTGATGGTTCCACAGGCACTATAAAAAGGAAGTAGAAGTGGCTGGTGACAAGTTAATCGGTGACAAATTCTCTTCAGTCAACCTGTGTCAGTGACAGCACCACAGTCCAGTCATTGCCCTGCTGGCATCTGAGTCATGACAATTCATTCTTTTAATAAACACAAAGGCAATGCAAACACACTTCACAGACCAGCTCCTCTCTCTGTGACCAACATGATCCATGCTGCAAGAATATCGACAAGCCGCAGCCATCACTACACTCAACACTACACAAAACCTCCTTTTTGCTGAAGTGCTGTATGAGATCAGCCATTTGCTTTCTTCCATCAGAATTAGGTCAGGAATCAGTTCCGTAGATTTTCGCTGGGTACCATGACCCTCAACCCAATTAGCAAGCTGACTTGGTCCACTGTGCCTAAATTCCATTTGTTCTTCAAATTTGTCTCCCCATGTTCTGTTATTTTTGCTAATTTATTTTGGTGCAATAATAAGATTCATACTCACTAGGTGTTTATGTTAATCAGAACCAGATCATAGTATAGGATTAGACTTTTTAAGTTATTTTTATTATACCAGGAAATTAGACATTGACCTTTGTTTAAAGTCTTTCAATCTTTGATTGCAATAATTTGATTTTTTTCAATTCAGCTGCATATTCTATTTTCATCTCTTTTGTCTGACTCTTATCAGAATTCTAGTCTCATGTGGTTTAGTTTTGGCCTACACTGTCTTGTTGAACATGCAAGGGAGTGCTTCATCAGGAATCTAGAGGAAACATGTCAGCACATCATGAATCTCAGCAGGCTGCCATAACTGAAGTCTTCGAGCAGAGACTTCTTCATAGAGCAGAAAAGAAAATCCATGGAGATGTTAAAAAAAATACCCCATATTATGCAAACAGGAACTGGGAATATCTAACTGTAAAGTATATGAGATTATCATAATACTAAACATTTCAGATTAGAGCTCTATAAACTTCTTCTCCAGTCACCCTATCACCCTGGGATCCATTGCTCTTCTTAGTAAACAAACACTGGGAAGAAATATTTTCTAGGATTATAGACAATATAATTAATTTATCCCTCCTCTGTAACTTTATTTGTTTAATAAATTTTTTTCCAGTGAGCAGTCTCTTTTTATAATATTTGAATTATACCTGCTTTCAGAGTGATCTCATGTTATCTAATAATGTCTATAATACTAAATGATTCTAGATAACTGTTGTCTCAATAAGTGACACAAATGACTCAAAGCTCAAACCAGGAGAAAATCATGATGCCTGAAGCTAAGTGAATAACCAGACTTCAATAAACAAATTTGTGTGCTACTCTCTTATTTTTCTTTTCTTTTCTTTTTTTCTCTTCTTTTTACTTTTCCTTCCTTCCTTCCTTCCTTCCTTCCTTCCTTCCTTCCTTCCTTCCTTCCTTCCTTCCTTCCTTCCTTTTTTCCTTCCCTTTTGATTTTCTCAGTCAGTATTGGGGATGGAAGTCAAGGCCTTAACATTAAACTATATTCCCACTCCTACACACACACACACACACACACACACACACACACACGCACGCATGCACACACATACACACATGCACACACATATACACCTGCACACACACACATGCACACATTCACACACACACACACAATTTTTTATACACACTTTTTAAAGAAATGATTTGAGTCAAGAGCTCACTAATTTTCCCAGGCTGGACTTGAACTTGCTGTCCTCCTTTCCCAGCCTTCCACAGATGATCACCTAAAAGTGTATGAGCTGAATGGTTCCTAATGGTCTCACATGTGGCTTTGATTAATAGAACACAGGAAAGAGAAATGCAGATGCCTTCTTACCAGTACAAAAAATTATTGATTGCTCCATGGAGCCTTATGTGGTGTACTAAAAAATGTAGATAGGGCTTTACCCTCTACTCCTGGCATAGAGCTTTAAACAAATCATAGAAATTTCATGAATGATAAGTGTGACTTCTTCTGTGTATAATGAGCCTCTTTCCTTCCTCTGTGAGTGTGTACTTCATTCATGATTTGTTAGACCCACAGAAAAGTTCACAGGAAGGGCTTCAGGCAGGGGAGAGGAGTTGGAATTGAGTTCAATCAATCTGAAAATTACCTAATCATGCCTATATAGTGAAGCCTCCTTAACAATCTCATGAATGATGAGGCATGGGGTGCTTCTCTTCTCATGAATAAACAGTGCTTGGCAAATGGCATTGCCAGATTTCTCAAGGGAGATCTTGGCATCCTGGAGACATCCTTAACCTCAGCATCCCTTTCCTATCCATCCCTTCTACTTGGTTATTCATAAGCTATGTCCTTTAAAATAAAAGTCTATTTTTAATAATAGTGTTTTTTATTTTATTTTTTAATGTTTATCATCATTCAAGTTTATGTATGTATGTATGTATGTATGTGTGTGTGTGTGTGTGTGTGTGACCAGCTCAGCCCACCAGCCATTCGAGGAACAAACAAACAAACAAAAAAATCCTTATTCCAATAATAGTGTTTTTGTGAGTTCTATAAGGTGTTGTGATCCATTACTAGCTCTGAAGGAGGAGGCATGTGAAGCCATGAATGTGTAGCCAGGGCAGAAAGAAGGCCAGGTGTATCAGGAAGGCATCAGGGCTTCATGCAAGTGTCTGAAGCAGGGCAATCACTTTAACAGGATCTTCCATAACTCAAATAGCATCAGAATTACCATAAGCTGTACAACCCTCAGCTGTTGTCAGAAAACTGATTTAAAAAAAGTAGTTTAAAATTAATGTCAATGTGTTTCTGTGAAAATGTATCTGAAAGTCAGCTAAGTAGGAATAACTTCACACTGTGAAAGTCAACCAGTTTTCAGTGGCCTTATTCCAATGCATGCTACTAAAACTAACATTAACCCTCTACTACTTCTTTAACCAACAATAGCTGTGCTTCTATAATGTTGGCCTCACCGCTCTACTGTTCTTATGGACCACATAACCTGAAGCAAATCTTCCCCTGATGCTAGCAGCCATTTTTGGTTGAATATGATTATTTCTGAACATTGTTGTCTTCTGTTAATTAATAAGACATAAATTAAAGGTTTGGCTAGAGATACTGAGTAGTGATATATGCTCTGATGCCTGTGAAATACTTTCATAATAGTTAAAGAAGAAACCTTCTTCTGCATTTCCTAAGAGGTCAGTCTAATCTTTAAAATTAAGTTCAGAAATGATAGCGTAAGAAGGTACTCTACTGGCCCAATTCCTTAACAAACACTCAAAACATGACATTTGTAAACAAAACATTAGCAAATCTAGTCTAACAGAATAGTAAAATGCATATTATTGCTAAGTTCAATATATCTTAGATATATAAAAATAACAAAGTTTAAAAAACCTACAAGTATGGACCCAAAGGGAGTCTGTAGAAGTATTCCACTTAAAATTTGGACCAACAAGTTATTCAATATCACTTGCCCTCAACATATTTGAATATAACTTGCCAAAATACAAGCAAAGAACAT